TGTTTATATCAAAATTTGTTAAAATTGAACAACTTAAAAATAATCAAAGTATTCATATTTTAGTATATTTTGAAATATATATATTACGTTAATATTGTTTTATAAAAATGAAGTATTAAATTATTTTAGATTAATATAAAATTTTAAAACTGTGCCCGAGGCTTCTATTTATAGGAATCAGAAGGGAGCCAGAACAGCCCTCGGAACGGCCCGTTCTAGGCCAATCATTATGTGAAAATTACGCACCCTGGAACGGCCCGTTCTAAAAACGGAACGGCCAGTTCCAGAGTGGAAATTAACACAAGGTTGCCATTTCCAAAACGGCCCGTTCCAAATTTGACTTGTTTGGAACGACCCGTTCTGGTATTGGAACGACCTGTTCCAGCCTAGCACTCTTTAGGTATTTTAGTCACATTGGAACAACCTGTTCTGATATTAGAATGACCTGTTTCGAAATTAGAACGGCCCGTTCCAGGGTTCGAAACGGCCCGTTCCAATTTTGGAACAACTCGTTCCGGGCTACTAAAGCCATCTTATTTGGCCTTTAGGCCTTCTGATGTCTTGTCTTGTTGTTTGCCTGCTTCAGAAGCTCCTTCCCTTCATAACGGAGGTCCATTTCCTTGTTTGTGTGCCCCCGGACGAAATTGGGTGTCTACATTGGGTAACAAATATGCCTATTATCTTGACCCAAAATGATGAAGTGTAAATATGCTTGTTTGGTTGTCTTGGTAGTTGAGTTGGCCGAGATGGCCAAAGCATGTTCCCCATGGTTTTTTGTTGAGGTAACTGAGATGGTCAAAGCATGCTCCCTATGGTTCTTTTCCAATATAATGTCCATCATTAAGATGCATTAATATTAGACGGAATAATAATGATTCATTGGCAAAACTCCACACATTTTAGGAGAATGTTTGTTTAATGTTTAACACTTGTTCACAATAACTCAACATCATTTTCTCTGTTAATGTTGTTGACTATTTTTTTTCTAGAGTTTTCTAGCTCGTCTTTTCTCTTTTAGTGTCTGTTGTATAAAAAAAAAAGATGGACCAATAATGAAGTATGGTGATCTTAAATCTTTTTGTCAACAAAAATTAATTTTGAAATCAAAAGAATTCAAAAATTTAATTGTTATTGTAACACCCTATGATTTTTTTATAATAATTAATAATGAGTAATTAGGAAGATAATAATAGTTTTACCTTACTTTATGATTAACAGTTGTTATTTTATTTGTTTTAATTGATTTAATCATTAAAAAATAGATATAATTAAAGATAAAGGGGTTCAGAGAAATAGGTAGTTATTATTAGAAGTGAGGCGGAAAAGGGCTCATTATTATTTTTGCATCTTCACATTCTTTAACTCTCTTGTGCTCTGAAGAGAACACATCTGGAGAGTAAGGAGAAGAGATCATCGGAGACAAGACAAAGGCTTAGATTTCATACGTTGCATCACTTCAGGTACGGGGGAGTGAGAATACTCATATCTGGGAATTGAGTTTATGCATGAAGGATAGAGGGATTGACCCCTAATCCCATAAATGCTATGTTTGATGAAATCTTGTTTGCAGTTGATGTTGTTTATCGAATAGGTTCTTAATATGAATTTTATTGGAAATCTGATGCTTTTAAATTAATTAATTGAGTGTTCTATAGAAAGGGGTTAGAACCTTAAGGGAGAAGAATTGATAATTTTAGGGGCAAGAGTCGTAGGCGTTTAATTTGATGAATGCATACTGAATGGTGGATTTTCTAGACATAAAAACGAGTTTTGGATTATTAGAATGTGCATGATCGATTATTATTTTGTTGTTGGTGCGTTTGAGTGTTGGATCGCATGCAGCGTTAGGCTCGAGTGCTTGACATCAGACGTGCCTTCATGCATATGAAGGCACTACCCAAACGTGATGGCATTGGGCGGGGAGAGGTTCATGCCAAGTGTGAGATGAACTAGGTGCTCCCTGTCTTAGTTTAGTGTCGGGCATGGCTCGGTCAAGCCGGGCGTGAGACGACCTAGGTGCTCTCTATCTCAGCTTGGGGTTGGGCATAGGTTTCCAAGCCCAGTGTAGACTATCAAGAAACTCTTTTATGATGTTTTAAATGGTGTTATTATTATGTTGTTGTATGATGGGTCTCGTACGAGTGGCGTGATAGTGACTTCTTTAATGAATTTTTTGGACAATGGAGTTGCTGATTAATTACATGATCATGAATGTGTACATATGCTTGGTGAATAATGATTATTATCTTGTTGGATAACAATAGTTGTAGATGATTATAGATGCTTATGAATGATGAACCATATGATGATCACAATGTATTTATATAGAAGCATTGCATAGTTGTGACATGCATCATACTTGCATGATTATGTAATTTTGATGGGAACCTAATTCTATAGTTCTAGTGGGAACCTGTTCGTGTTCTAGTGGTAACACTTTTGTGTTGGTAGCCTAAGGTTAACTAAGGGCTTAGGTACCAACAGTATAATCTTAATGATGATGACCGAATACCCCATGCATTTAAATATAGGTGCACACTACATTGCATTTTTGTGTATGTGTTTATAAGTGTAATTGATGGTGTTTACAACTGAAATTAATGTATTAATTATTGCTATTATATTTGTTACCATTGAAGGGAAGGGATACTGAGGGTTGTAGCGCATTCCCTATATAGTGAAATTTTTATGACTCCTTGTTTACTTGTTTGTATATTTTGTATGTTTTGCCAAAATGGATCCTCAGTCTTTGGGGGAGTAGGGAGAGATCTAGATATGTGTGGTAGCTCTAATGCCAATGTGGCATTAGAGCTTGGGAGTAGTTTAGAAATTATGCTACCTCTTTTGTTTTAGTTTAGTACATTCAAGTTGTAATTTGATTGCTACTACTCCATTATTTATTTTTTGGTTGAATTGAGATGCTTTATTTATGACTTTAATAAGAATGAATTAAGATTTATGAGTTATTTATATTCTTATATGGTATCACTCTTGGGGTAGATGAGTGTCACATTTAGTGGTATCAAAGCTAGGTCGATAAAAAAATCGGGAATGTGTGCGTTGTGGTGTTCATTGTGTTTCTGTTGTGTGTACTCTGATTCTTGATGTTTACATAGACTATCTTGATGATTGTTGTTGTTGGTTGTTGATATTGTTCATTATGTCATAGAGTAGATGGTCGGTAGACATGAGAGAGCTTTAGTTGATGCCATCTAGGCCTTGCCTCAATCTACGGGGCAAGATCGTTCTATTAAGCGCACTGTTGTTACTCCTAGTTGGTTGGAGCACTTCCAGCGCCATAACCCGCCTGAGTTTAAGGGTGGTTATGATCCTGATGGTGCTATGAGTTGGATGACCAAGGTGGAGAAGATCTTTGTTGTTATGGAGTGCCCCTTGGTCCAGATGGTAAGTCTGGCTACCTTCTTGCTGGTGGATGATGCTCACTTCTGGTGGGAGAGACCTAGGCAAAGGATGTTGGATGTTGACACCCAGTGGAATTGGGAGAACTTTAGGAAGGTATTTCTAGAGAAGTACTTTGCAGAATACATGAGGTGCCTGAAAGAGATGAGTTTATGGGGATGAAGTAAAGGGACATGACTATGGCTGATTATGTAGCCAAGTTTGAGGAGCTAGTGCGGTACTATGGTCACTATCAAGGTGATGCTAATGAGAGGATGAAATGCATCAAGTTTGTGAGCGGCCTTCATCCTGAGGTAAAGACTGCTATTAACTATTAGGAGATCTATCACTTTCAAGCCTTGGTGAATAAGTTTAGGATATATGACTGTGACAATCGAGCTCATGTTGCACACTATAAAAGTGTGGGTCTTACTAGGGGTAAGACTTCTGGAGCATCAACCAGGAGCAAGCCCTATATATTGCCTGCACAGTTTTAAAGGAGTCATGCTAGAGGAGGTGCTAGCCAATTTGTTGTCGAGTATTTTGCTGGTGGTGCTGGAGCTAGTGTTAGAGACTCCATCTCTAGCCTCATAAAAAATATTTATAAATTTAATTTATATTTAAATTTATCAAATTAATATTAATTTATACTTATCATCTAATTAACATAAGTCATAAATTATTTTTTTCAGTAAATAATTTTTAGCTTAAAAGGAGGTTAAAAATTAATATAAGTGAAATTTACCAAACAATTTGTATATATTTTTATTTTACTTCTTATTTTTAACTTGAATTTTAAAAATAACTTTTAAGTTAAAAAATTAGTTAGACTAAACCTAACGAGAATATGAATGACTTACTAATGGAGGAGTTTTTTTTTTTGTTTTTTTTTAATAGAATGTCCTAGATAGAATATGAAGGAGTTTTGAATAGAACGAAATACATCATGAAGTTTGCATAATGTTTAATCCATTATTTAGTTTATGATTTTAAAAAAATTAATTAGCTTTTTAAATTAAATAATATAATTAAATCCTTCATTTTTTTAATTTAATTCGTAATGTTATAAATATATTTATAATTCAAGAATTTTCACAAAATATTCTTGATACATATAAACGATATTGTTAAATAATAATCTAATATAATTGTTTAGATATGTAAATATTAAAATTATTTTGTTAAATTTTATAGATTCTAAATAATTTTTTAACCACAAAAATTAAATTACAAAACATAAAAAAAGATGAAAGTGATAATTACACACTTGTTTTTAATTTATGAGCCTAATTGAAAATTTCCAAAAAAATTTAGGTAGCATTAACCTTTGCATAATGGATCCAAATTCTGAATCATTCATATTTGAAAATAATTTCTGATTTGTCTTCCCCCCCTGTTTCATTCCCAATTCAAACAGAGCATAACAACTAGTTTTTGGTTTCAATGAGGGACATGGGCTGGAAGATTGGGCGAGGCCCAAAAGAAAAGCCCAGGAACTGCGGTGACGAGAACGGAACGCGTGTTGGAATGGGTGCTTCTCGTTGGTTTTGTCCATCTCCTTCTGTTGTTCTCTTCAACTGAATCTGCCTCTGCCTCACTTCGCTTTGACCCTTCAACCTTCGCCTTTCCCTCCGTTTCGTGAGTTCCCCCTTTCTCTTCTATTCGCTCCCATTTCCCACATCTAGGTTTTCCTTTTCCCTTTGCAATTGCGTTTTGTCTTTTGGCCTTCGCCGTTTCGTGCCTCTCCCTTACTTGCTCATTCGTCTTGTTGTTGAATCCCCCTTTTGTTTCTGTTCTTATTTGTGAATATTTGCTCAAGTTCGGAGTGTAATTCATGTCGGAGTGTGTTATCCCCCTTTTTATGTCATTGTGGGTTATTTGATAATCGTGAGCGGTGCTTATTGGTGATGGCATAATCTCGATTTACGTAATATGCTGCTTAGATATGTAGTTAACGTGCTTACCTAGCTACACCCCTTCCTTTTTTGTTGTTGCGTAACCTATATTGTTTTTCTTGTTATTTTATCTTCTTCATCATTGTTATTATTATTATTATTATTATGGTGGTGATGCTTTTACTTGGTGAGTTTTGGATCTATGATTGTTTTTACATTCTTTTAAATCCTTGGTTCTTTAATCTTTAGCATTTTGGATCATTTCATCTCATATTGCCTTTGTTTGTTGATATATGTTTGATAGCAAACATGTATAGTGTGATTGAATTTGAAATTTGTTCAGCTATAATTGAAATGTGCATCTTGTTTGGGGTTGTCTTTGTTGAAATATGCATCATTTTGAAGCTACACACTTTTATATAGTGTTTACAGATATTTTGCTTGATAGATCATGGTAGCATAATCTTGTATTTCATTTTTAAGTGTGATAGCATTTCCTGTGGCAATTCTCATTGCCAGTTTTCATGATTGTTCTGTTGCAGATGAAATTTGGTGGACTGTTTGACCTTTCACTTATGTGCTTATTTCTGTAACGTCTAATGCTTAGTTGGATGGTTACTTATTTATTATCATTTGTAAATGACCTACAGCGTGACTCAGATGGCTGGAGGTGTTATTCAGCAGCTATTGAGGAGGAAACTCAACCCTCAATTTACTGTAAGCCGCTGGGCTCTCATTTCATGTTAATTTGATGCTTTTGTGCTTAATTACCTTTTTGGATCCCTTTAGGTCTCCGTGACCTATAATGGAGATCCTTAGAATAGAATTAGCCGGGGGATTGGCAATATGGTTTTCTAATTATGAAATACAAAACTCCTATGTTTATTTCTGATTTATGTAGAAATATGGATTAGTCCACATGCTAGCTTTTTTTCTTTACCCTGTCAAGTATGTCTTTGGGTTTGGCTTATTTTGTGGAAATAACTGCTTTCTTTGCCAGCTTTTGGGGAAAGCTTTCTAGATAAAGTGATTATTTTCCCAAACATGCAAGAGCATTGAGAAGTTGGATCCAACTAATGGGATCTTTCTTCCAATATAAGCTCAATCCTTTTACAGAATTGTATGTGGATTTTCTTCTTGTTGTATGATTTCAGTTTCTTGATAAAAGTTTGCTTCCCATGCAAACAAGTTGATTCTGTCTGTTGCTATTGTTAATAGCAGTTGTGTACTCACTGCAGAACTCTTCCTTGTTGACACCCATCATAGCAAAGAAAGATGATGCTGGCTCCACTGGCAGTAGGTCCTTAAGAGCACTTGCATTAATTGGAGCCGGTATGTCAGGATTTTTCAGTTTTACATCAACAGCAGCAGCTGATGAAGCTGAGCATGGCCTGGCTTGTCCAAGCTATCCATGGCCTCACAAGGGAATTCTTAGTTCATATGATCATGCTTCGTAAGTTTGGCTCGAGTTTTCCCTATATTTTCTTATCGTTTGCTCAACGATATTAGTATTTACCTAGTTAGAAACTTAGATACTCAATCTTATACCTGCTAAATTTCATGTAATAATGTTTAGTTTATTTTCTCTCTAATTAATTAGCCTAATTTTATCTTTTAGCCCATCCTTAGATTAGTCATTCATCCTTCTTTCTTTGTCATTTCATGTCTTTGATGTGATATAGCATGGTTTTTATCTTGTGTGACTTTTATGTAATTGGTTCTCCATTCATAGTAATTAAGTCCTTCAATTACCATAAATGATATCAAATCCATTTGAATGCCCATGATCTGTGAGGCAGCCATTACTGAGAGACCTATATGGCATGTTTTCCTCCCATCTTTTGCCTTATGTGGTAAGAACCGAGGACCAATGTGATGTCACCTATCTCTTTGGAGGACCAACATGGTAGTTTATGCCATTTATTATACATTGATTGCATCATAATTTTTCTAGCAAAATAGTTTAAACTTAATTTTGCAAAGTAATAATTTCCTGCTTCAAGGACACTTAACTGTAACAGAGTTCATAAATGGTGAATACTTGTTTTGGGATTTGGATCCTGACTCCTGTGCAGTTCTTTTTAAAACTGCATGGCTCTTGGCCCTTAATATATTAAAGTTGTTTTATAAAAGAATTACAAATAACTGGTTGATGTCACTGAAAGCCGTGGAATTCAAACTGCACCAGATGCATAGTTTATTTTTGAGCTCCGGAGGATCTTTATCCCATGTTCTGCTGCTAACATGTATTTAAACCAGATTTCACATTAAGGTCATATAACATTGATAACTCAATGATAATTAATGTCTTAAATTGTTAATTCTTTCAATTAATTTTATGTGGGCAGGATTCGTCGTGGTCATCAAGTTTATACACAAGTCTGTGCTTCCTGCCATTCTATGTCTTTGATATCATACCGTGATTTGGTTGGTGTTGCTTATACAGAAGAAGAGGTAAAGGCTATGGCAGCTGAGATTGAGGTGGTTGATGGCCCTAATGATGAGGGAGAGATGTTTACACGCCCTGGTAAACTCAGCGATCGTTTTCCTCAGCCATATGCAAATGAATCAGCTGCTAGGTTTGCTAATGGAGGAGCTTATCCTCCAGACCTAAGTCTTATTACCAAAGTAATGCTACTTATTTGATAGCAATGTCTTTGGAATTTTATTATGTAATCTACCAGAAATATATATATTATTTTAATTTTTCAGGCCCGTCACAATGGTCAGAACTATGTTTTTGCCCTTCTAACTGGTTATCGTGACCCACCTGCTGGTGTTTCGGTAAGTTCTTCTTTATTTATTTTATTTAAAAAAGTGATTTTATACATTTTGCATAGTTGACTGTTGGAAAATGCTAGGCCACTCGATCTGGTTCTGTACCAAAATTTTGCAAATCTGTCGGTGGTTTTGAAACAAATGCTTTACGACTGACAAATACTTATTGTTTTCATTTCCCTCTTTTTGTGCATTCATTCCTCATTTTTTTGCACGCTAATGAGGACGTGTCTGTATGCATGGTGTAGTGGTGAGCAGGGCATGGTTGAATAGCCCTTGGCTCTATCTCTGAGATTTACTTTCTGTACAACACTTTTGAATCATGCCTTTTGATATCCTTTGCGTATAATATGTGCCATCTTCAGGTTCAATCTAATTCATACATGATTAAACATACATGCAATCACAAACGTCCACACCCATACATAAGACATGGAGGAGGGTTTATAGTGAGAGGAGAGAATCTTGATCATTAGATTTTAATCATTTTATGTATTGTCAAAATTAGAACATAAAGGCAATTGACTTGTTCACGTAATCATGTGGCCATAAGTGAAATATAACTTTTACCATCCATGTAAAATCTAATGATCAAGATGTATTTCTCACGTCACACAAAAAATGCTCCTCCCTGCGTGACACCGCTTAATTTATTCATACATAAGCATGTAGAGAGAGCTTTCATTATGCTTTCTATAATTGATAATTCTCATTCATATTTGGTACTCGCTCATAATATCATTTTTTTCCTTATACTGATGTACTAATTTTGTTGTTGTGTTCGTAAACTTTTATTCATGATTATGTTCAAAATATAATATTGCAGATAAGAGAGGGACTTCATTATAATCCTTACTTTCCTGGTGGAGCAATTGCCATGCCTAAAATGCTTAATGATGGTGCTGTGGAGTATGAAGATGGTACCCCTGCTACAGAAGCTCAGGTATTAAATTTGTTTCTGGAGGAATAGTTTAGTAAATCTTAAAAATGCATCGTTATGGACTCACTCGAAAGAATGGAGCTCATTCTTTTTTTATAAAATTTTTGTTGCAGATGGGGAAAGATGTTGTGTCATTCTTATCTTGGGCCGCGGAACCCGAAATGGAAGAGAGAAAACTGGTTTGTTTCCTTTTAAATCCTGTTTTGACCAGATCTACAATGACATTATCCTGTTTTCTAAAGAAACTTGATATATGTACAATTTATGCAGATGGGATTTAAATGGATATTTGTACTGTCACTGGCACTACTTCAGGCTGCCTATTACCGTCGGTTGAAGTGGTCAGTTCTAAAGTCTCGCAAGCTGGTTCTTGATGTTGTCAACTAGCCGCCTCAAGTTTCATTTTCACTTATGCAAAGTTTATTGTTGGCAATAATTTGTCAGATAGTTGTTTCATCATTTCAAATCCGTTAAGCAAAATTAATGGTTAATGGAACAACTGGAAGAGTGTTCTAATTTTGTTTGAGATAAAATTGTACCATGCACGAGATGCGTTTACTTTTTTTTTATTCATCTCGGACCTGTGTATTGTTGCATTTTCCGAGAGGTGTTCCTATTTGATATACTGTTAAATTTTATGGTACTTGCCTGTCATTGGGATTCATATTGGTCGTTATTCAATAAAAGGAATACTAGATTATATGCCCAATTTGGACATTAGATGACATTCTTTTTGCTTCAGCTTCAGCTGTATGCTGTTGCGGCCAGTGGTGCTTAGAGCATGTTTTTACGGCTTATGTTGCATGGTGAATTGCCCGGGTTAAAATTTTGTTAATGGGTAAGTCAGAGGGTTGTATTAAAAAAAAATGACTTATGGATACAAATAATTGTCGCATATAAAATAAAAAAAGGAGAGAGAGGTTATAATAATACCGGTGTAACTTTTACTAAGTATTATACCATCCAATAATTTTATATTAAATGTGAGTTTTATAAATTTAATTGTTATATTGAAAGTTCATGTTATTATATGTTTACATCAAATTTTGTTAAAATTAAACAACTTGAAGATAATTAAAATATTCATATTTTAATATATTTTGAAATATATATATTATATCAGTTTTGTTTTATAAGAATGAAGTGTCAAATTATTTTGGATTAATATAAAATTTTGTATATATGATTTAAGAGTAAATAACTTTTAATCTAACAATTAAATTTACAAAATTCGCATTTAATATAAAATTATTTAGCGGTGTAATATTTAATAAAAGTTACACCGCTTAATAATTTTATATTAAATGTGAATTTTGTAAATTTAATTATTAGATTGAAAGTTCATATCACTTTATATGTTTATATCAAAATTTGTTAAAATTGAACAACTTAAAAATAATCAAAGTATTCATATTTTAGTATATTTTGAAATATATATATTACGTTAATATTGTTTTATAAAAATGAAGTATTAAATTATTTTAGATTAATATAAAATTTTATATATGATCTAAGAGTAAAAAACTCTCAATCTAACGATTGAATTTATAAAATTCAAATTTAATACGTTTAGTAAGTATACCTGCCGAATAAGGTTCCTAAGTGTCAAAGGTGAAATCACTTATACTCATGAGTTTTTGTTGGCTTTCAACATATCATTGACTGCTTATTTAAAATATATATATATATATATAT